CTTAACTGAATTTAGCCTCGAAAACAAACTTCAAACTTTCTAGAAATTTGAACTATTATAGACTATATCATTACTTATATTTAATATTTTGATTACAATAGAAATACAGTACCCCAAACTCATGCTCGAATTTATACACTTAACACAGCAATGGAAATATCTATTTAACTTGAAAAATTGAAAAATGATTATTTCATACGGATTTATGTGTATTGTACATTGTATATATGCATATGTGAAAAGGATGTTGCTTACAAAAACAAGGAAATAGACGGAAGCTGAAAAATGTATCAACATTTATCAGATTTTAACTCATCATCCTAAATATACTCAAGCATTTTTGTACAAAAATAGATTCAGTAGTAACAAAATGTTTCCATATCAAAAGTATCTGATGTTGATTTTTATTTCAATTTTGATTTATGTTCAAAACCTAATAACGATTACGATATTTTTTTTGCAATTGTATCTTAGTGTTGTAATGGCAAAAAAAAAGGAAAATGCAAAAAGAAGAATGAAATAAAAATAGTAAATAATGTGAGATTACATATGTAGAAATGTACTTACATTTCTGCTCGAAAAGTGAGTTACATGTTAAGCTAATATTTAAGCCAATAGCTTGCAGATGTATCTTAAATGACAACTAATACTACGTGTCACATAATCCGTTGTATGAATACTTACCAAGTGACATAAATATGTATAAGTTATTATCTACTTCATAGCTGATGAAGCATACCACTCAGTAGTTAATACATGTTTGAAATATTAGGTGTTAAATATGTCATGTTAAGTTTAATGTAATGCATTCAAGCTTAGACTTATTTATTTAGTGCTAACACTTCAGGGTCATATTTTTATTGAAAATTATTGATGAGAATAGGTCCCTGTCAAAAACTTGTTAGCAGAAACAATTAATTGTAAAATATTTAAACAAAATTTTCACTCAATTGATTCAATATAATATTATAATAAAACGACTACAATATAATATCGAACCACTTGAAAAAATATGAAAAGACCGTATATAAACAATATGTTATTTTTCAATAATATCAATTTACTTAAATTGTTTTTCTTGCTCCTTTTTCTTTTAATAATTTCGGATACACTTTCAGTGTATCAAAAACGTGTGGGCATCAAATTACCAGCAATTGACAAAACCCTCTTTTTTGATAGATACATAAAACAATCAATCAAAAAAATAATTTCATTTATTTACTACTGTGTCATGTATAGTAACATGTCAGCAATGTTTGCATTCATAAAAAATATTAAAAGTGAAGTATCCATAAACCCGACCCCCTGAATGTGTTTAAATCGCAGTGGTCGCAGTTTAAAACAAGTAATTTTATACGCCAGCATAAATATTTCAATGGATTTGCCAAATGACCTCACTACTGAAAAATACACAAAAATCCACAAAATCCTGCAGAATTGAACATGTCCCAAATGACCTCAGACAGTTAGCACGAGTAACTGGAACAATATTTTTTGTTTTTTAGACGTAAAAAATCACAACGAAAATAAAATGATTGTGGAAAATATAAACGTAATTAGACGAAACACTACATAAACGAAAGTATCAAGTTTATAAATTTTATTATTTTTACTACTACATAAAAAAGCTTCGACTTAATAATTCATTTTCTAAAACATAAAATGCGAAGACTATTAAGAGAGTTAGTCCACAGTCTAGAAGTTTGTCAAAAAAAAAACTTTCCTACAAATCATTCCTGTTGTCTATGTTTAGGATATGGGATACATATTTCAATCGCACCATTTATTTTCAGTATGTACATACTTTCAATAACATCTCTGATCTTTTTACATACTTTGCATTTATTATATGTTAAAGTTATGTATAAATAAAATTAAAACTGATTTTTATTTATTTATTACTATTTTTGTATCAAACAATCGTCACTAACATTAAAAGAACGCCTGAATACATAACATAACACTATCAAAATATTAAGTTAATAACTTACTGATATATATAGGTGTCATTAGATATAGGCAAGATATAGGTGTCACTAAAATCTGTGTCATAAAAAGTCCCATAGATGATAATATAATACTAACGTTATGGTATATTCGGTTAATGAAACAGCTATAATATCTCTTCAATTTTGGTCTTTACATTTGTTGACTCGAAACCACAAAAACTTCATAACTGATTTAGATAGTATAAATATATTAACACCAATCATGCCACCCGGTTGCAAGGATTTGACAACAAAATCTGACTTTTACTAACAAACTTTCTAAGGAAGGTACTTTAACTTTCTTTATGGAATCCCTGCCTCTATAGTTTATCCACTTATAAATGATATCAGTACTTAAAAATATTTAAAATATTTAACATAGTACAACAGGTGCCGATACGAAAGATCTAAGTCCATCAAAGCAGTTCATTTGGAATCAATTGAAAACTGGCTTTAAACTTAAATAAACTTGAATTTAGTATAATTGTGTAATTTGTACTGTTTCTGTCAACAATCACCTTTTAAAGATTTTTGGACAAGAGTCAACTGTGACAGAAAGGCGTTAATACAGAAAAGCTATTCTAAAGATATTTAGGCTTTTTACATGTTGACAATGATTATCAATATATATGGAGCAATGAGCTGTACGAGCTATACAGCATAAAATCTCAGCGACTTTCTGATTTCATCATATCGTAGGAATGAAAGAAAGCGCCCCGGCTGGAGAGATGTTTGATTCGATACCCGCTGATGGTAAACGCAGTAGAGCACGTACGCAGTAGAAGACAAGTTGACTTCCGGTATCGGTATCGGCAAGCGGTACTAGCAAAAACAACCCACTGATCGGTTGGCTTGACGATCCACGCCTGTAATGGCCAACTAAGTAAAGTTGAAGAAAGCACTTGCAGTTTTTATAAAATGAGGTATTCGCCAATGTACTTTACAATCGTTAGGAAATAGTTTTAAAACCTCTAACTGGCGTTTATTTGAAGCGAATAAGATTTATAATCTTTAACCAAGAAATGCCATTAGGTTTACCAATGTTGTTGTTTATTTGTCCGCAATTGCTAGAAGATTTCATCTAGAAATAGTACAGTAAATTTCAAAAGTCATGCTGGTATGATGTTGTATCTTTTTATAACAAAAATAATAAACACATATTATATATTAATACAGTTCAAATAAAAATTCAAAATAACCTACAATAATAAGAAGGCTTTACGAGCATTCGATAGAAAAACTCTTCTAACGATCTTAAGGTGAATTAATCCAGGATTGTTTAGATTTTAAACGTCATGGTGTCACATTGTGGCTTTTAATTAATTATTATTATGTTGAGGCTAGTTGAGTCAGTGCACCTGAGCACTTTTACTCTCTATTAACTGCGAGGTTTTTTCAAAACCCATCTTGCGCCTTGACTAGATTATTATTTATCACTTCATCAGAATAAAGAATAATTGACCTCAGATCTGCATACCTCCCCGAGAAGCCTGTAACCATTCTGAGATTTGATAACGCAGTGTTGGCAAGTCTGTCAGATTTCGCAAATAATTTCAAGGCTCTATCCTTTATATATTCTTTGATCGGATCAATCTTGATGTCCCTGAGGATGTCATTCATTCTAATGTATCATGGAACTTTAAAAAGTCTTCTCAGAGCTTGGATTTGTGCAATTTCTAGCTGATGAATAGAAGTATTTGAAGCTTTGCTAAACGCTACACAACCATATAGAAGTGACGGACGAATTATTTGGTTATACATCAGTTTCGTGTTCTTAGCATTGAGATTTTCATTTCTAAATAGCGGTTGGAGGTAATGAAGAATTTTGGCACAGCTAATTCTTTTCAGTTGAACATGTTTAAGTCATGTGAATCGTTTGTCCAACGTGATGCCAAGATATTTAACGCTATCCTCCCAGTTTATCACCATATCACCCACTCTCACTCTCGACGGATTCTGTCTCCACTTACGTGTTATAAACAGAGCCTTAGTTTTTTCATTATTGATTTTTATTTTTCATTTCTGAAAATACTCCAGAATAAGGTTTATATGCTCTTGTAGTGTGTTGGTTATGTTGAGAGCTCATTTATCTGAGTATTGCATACACGTATCGTCAGCATATAATGCCAGAGTCGAGGGACCTAACGTTAGAATATCAGATGTATAAATGTTGTAGAGAGTGGGGGAAAGTGGCGATCCCTGAGGAACCCCTGCTTCTATAGATCGGACTGACGAGAGAGCGCTGTTGATTTTCGTGCAAAAGGACCTCCCACGTAGGAAGCTGCCAATGATCTTTGTTAGTCTGCCTGGAACACCTAGATGAGATATTTTAACTATCAGACCACCATGCCAGACCTTGTCAAAAGCTTTAGAAATATCAAAAATGATCATTTTAATTAATGCTAATGTTTAATTAATTTTCAATTTATTAAAGTAATTAATGATTCAATTAATTAATTCAATCCATTAATTATTACTAATATTATAACGGTATAATATATAATTCAAATAAAAATTCGAAATAGCCGTTGTTAAATATTTTTTAATGTCATTTTTTTCCATAATATATTCCGTAATGCATTTATTTTTCTTTGTGTCCCTGCCTTTATGCATTTTTGCATTAATACCCACCAGTTCTGGTCACATTTACATACAATATCTATGAACAGTCCTGTCAGTAATTTTTGATTTATGTACGGACACATGTTTGTTTGGTGAATCTGATGAATTCAGCTGCTCAAATATGGCATAAAAGTTAACTATTTGCATTCCAATGTATAATATTTAGTTGATATTTAAACATTTTATTAAAATTAAAATTTGCAAAAATATTAAATAAAATTTTAAAAACTTTTGTAAAATAAATGCACTGGAAAAACGAGAGGAAATAACAATTTGTGACATTTACATGACGCATTTGTATTTCAAAGATTTTTTATTCGCATTAACAGTTTTCCATGTTTCTGGTCTTTTTTGCTAAACTCAATAAAATTTTTTTGTCTTCCTTTCCAGAACTATGAAAGCCACAACGTGGCTGTGGCCGGTGTTAACTTTACTCTGCGGCGCTAAGCTTGTTTGCACAGCACAACGTGGGGTTTATCCATTCGATTATGCGGACCCGAATTTGATACAGGTGAGTGTTGGGCTTAAAGGCCTCATCGCTTTAAGCGCGCTAAGTACGTGTGAAGAGCAATCATATAGTATACCACATTTTCCCATTTTTTTTCAATATTTTTTATGACTATTTCAACAAACATGCACACTCACACACACACACACACCCATACGATTTGTCATTTGACTTAATGTGTCAATGTGGTTGTGCATTACGGGCTTATAACGCCTTAGCGTGCGAACTTGTGAACTGGCAAATAAAAGGTTTCAGTTTAGTTGGTAGCAAATTGTGTGACGTAGCAACTCGATGTGTATGAGTGAATGTGTATGAGTATATGTGCTTTGATTAAGTTGGGGGTCGTCACATAAGTTCCATGAAGATTTTTAGTAAAATTATCCAACGATATATAAACTAAACTTTTTGCATTTAATTTATCTTGAAAGCAATTTATTCTTTAAAGAAAATGCAATAAAATAAAAATTTAATAAAAATACTATTCACATATTATAACATTATACAGAGATATTGTAGTAGTCTATCAGAAACTTCTATATAGGATAAAATATTTTATTAACAAAATACTTACTACACATGGCTTGTGATTAGCAATTCACAGGAGGTGACGTAGACCTCTTGCATTAAGTGTAGGTTCATTGGTTTCTGTTTAGGGGCATAAGTGTTAAAGTCCTTTAATTTTAGCGTGTTTTGTTTATATGTATATTACCAAAAAGATAAAAAAAATAATTTTATTGCAATTAAAAAAAATGTAAAAAAAAACTTAGATAACACTAAGAATATGAGTTCTTCCTTTGTTTACATAGAGATTAAGTTTATGTATATCATTTTATTGCTATTTAAGTACTTAGCGGTAGTTTATTAAAAGTCCTTTGAGTTCAAGGATCGTAAATTAACAGTTTAAGTAATATTAATAATGAAATATGTCATTTTTGACTTATACAAAAAATAAATTTGTTCTTAAAATTTTCCACAATATTTAAGATTGTTTGACATAAATGTGCTACAGTGTAACAGCCTGTTAATGTCTTTTGAAAAATATATAAAATCAAAACTTCAATTTGTCTGTTACTTTTGACAACAGGTCTAATATATGCAATTTAATATAATATTTTTCTAATAAATTCAATTTAATATAATCCTCTTTAGTTAAAGTAAAATGCACATTTCAACTTTAAATTAACCTTAATATTATTCTGACTTAATGCTAACAGTTAGGTGGGGTTAATATTATGTGTGGAAGCTAACAATAGTTTAATATTCTTTTTTAGTTTTAATAAAGAAACAACAAAGAAACAATACAGTTTTAATATATTTCAAAATTTATTCAATAAATTAGTACAATAACTATTCATATATCAAAAATATATGTCCAAAATATAAAAAAATCCACTTAAGATAAATAATTTCCGTTTAAAAATCTAAAACAAAATAAAAACATTTGTAATATATATTGAAGGAAAGCTGATTCTCTTGCTGATTCTAGATCTCTTGCTAGCACGTGAAGATTTTTTCTGATATTCCATAGTTGCATAATTAACCCTTTTAGCATTAAAATTGTAACAATTAAACTACTAATTTCTTGGTATTGACAATTAAATTCAGAAACTATTAGTCTGACATCTGAGTTAGCCAAAACTGATTAGAGCATTGAGTAAGCAAACACTAAATAATGATTATTTACAGTAGTACAAACTTTGCCCTCTGCGGCCATGCATATATTTGGAAGAAGACTTACTGAGATTTATATGAGTAAAACTTATTAGCAACTATTATTATTAATAATTTATACATTCATTGATAGAGTATATATATAATAAATAATTGGTACCAGCCCATTGATAAAACAACAAGAAAAATTCAATATAATTTCTAGTGTAATCCACACATATTTGTAATACATATTATGGATGATTTTGGATAAGGCATATTTATTTTTCACATATAGATAGTCTTCTTACTTATATTTCGTTCGAACACTTTTCATCCAAATATTTCAATTGTTTCCATTTGATCTTATAAAAGTATTGATCTAAGGTATTTAGTGGCTCTATATGGGAATGTACAAGTGTCAGTTTTGTAGATGAGAATGGAAAGCAGTTTTAATACAAGGAAACTGATTAGGCTTTATATAAAAAATTTTTTGTAGTATTATGCCAAAAAAAAAACACTTTATTTCATAAATTTTTAATTAAAACTAAAGATTCAAACATTTTTTTAAGTTGCTTGTATTCCAAATTCTTTAACTTTGAAGTAATTTTGTTAAATGATATACTTTTTGAAGAATATTATAGTTTTTTTTTCATATGGCTTAAGCATATATTGAAACTTTTTGAATCAATTAAGTCAAAGATTAAACACTTGTCATTTCAATCGGCATTTTTGAATTCACTAAAAACTACGTACTCAACTTCTCTGTCATTTTCTACCATATAAACCAACTCGTGTAAAACTGCATCCCTTGCATTTCTTACTCCGGTAATAGCTAATAATACAAAAAAATTTAATTTATGTATAGTTCTACGTCTCTCTGAAATATAAATGTTAGCTCTCGATCTTTTGGCTGATTATATACGACGTGAAAGTACGAAGAATGCAAATTGCAATTCCATCTCGACAAACAGATGCGCATTTGAAAAAGTCATTAATATAATTAATTACTTATATAATCACAAAAAGCTTAATTGAAATTCTTTAATAGAAAAACGAGTTAAGATTTAATATTTTTTTGAGTTTTAAATTGAATTCAATTTTTAAATTAAAGGCAGCTTTAAAACATATTTGTAATTATATAAATTTTAGCTGAGTGCTATTGTATTAGGTGTTTTATTTTTATTATTTTTTTAATTTTTCTCTTATTTTTATTTCATTTGAAATCTGAACTATGCAAGCTCTCTGTTTTCAGTTGACGATTTAATATTTTGTTAGATAAAAAAATACAAATCAGTTTAACTATATCTTTAGTCATTTCTCAGTCGAATTAATTTACAATCAATTAACCATTATAAAAATTTATGTAACATTAAATTTTTTAAGTACAATTAATTTCATTTATTAATGCACATAAACTTGTGATTCAATAATATTAAACTATAGTAGGATTGGATCTTTCATCTCACAAATCATAGAGAATTTGCACAAAAAATAAACGGCATTGAGATCAATTTAAAAACTTCATAAAATGGTTTCAAATTCCCAAATGCGATTTTTGTTCTTTGAGTTCCATTCATTTCATTGACGGTTATTTAACATTTTCGAGGTTATAAGTAAAACAAATTTTCTTTTTAATTATTGGAATGTTCACTTTAAAATTATTATCCCTATTTAGCATTACATTATTAAGTTTCAATTTTGAATTCTTCCAAGTTTCACTTAACAAACTTTAAATAATTACATATTTTCAAATTTCAATTTTCAACTTAAAGATCATCTCTTAACTACCGTTTACCTAAAACGACCACACATATTGAGCTTCAGAATTACAAGGAATCTTATGTGTGACCTTCCTATCTCTACTTGTCGCCTCTGTAAATTAGGTGACAAGTATTGATCATGTATCTATCTGCTATTACAGCAGTAATTATTAGTAGTAAATTGTAAAAGCTGATAGTAAAACTCGGATGTTGCAATTTCGTAATTGCAAATTCTTGGTCTACATATAGGTTTACTGTATGAATTCAATAACTCAACCCTATAAAGCTTTTGACCCACGCCTCAACTTTCCAGCGTTTTTCTCGTTAGCAAAGGGATTGCTAAATTAGGAAATGATGAACTTCAGTGATGAATAAATAGTTAACCGTTTAGATAACTAAATATTATCACCAACTTATACTTATTACTACACCTACTTATAAATATTATCACCTACTTATTGGCTATGATTCCAAATTTTACCCCCCATTCATATTTTTATTTCTTTTGAAAATGCTTGAAAAAAATAAGAATATCAGCTAATTCGAGACTCTTCGTACGTAACTTTATTAGTATCTTCTTAAATAATAAACAATTTTCAAAATACTTAAAAAAATAAGAATATCAGCTAATTCGAGACTCTTCATACGTAACTTTATTAGTATCTTCTTAAATAATAAACAATTTTCAAAATACTTAAAAAAATAAGAATATCAACTAATTCGAGACTCTTCGTACATAACTCTATTAGTATCTTCCTAAATAATAAACAGTTTTTATAAGATGATAGATTTTTTTCGTCATTAGGCTCAAGCAAATATTGGAAATATTTGAATTCAAAATAAACAATTTGTATAGTATATATTAATATGTACGCGATACCTCAACTCCAACATATTCGCTGTTATAATAAGAACTTGAGCTAGAGCTAACGTCTACTGATGTTTCATAGGCACCACCATAGCCTCCATATTGTGGTATAGGTGCAGCTCTTGCTCTCCTTTCTGCTCTTGGATTATGAAGTTTTTGTCCTTTTGGTACTGACCGCGCTAGACTCACAGCAAAAAGCGCCATAAGTAGCGCTAATGCAAAAAGCTTCATTGCTTTTGGTTTCACGTTTCTATGAAACGTAAATCTTACCTTTTGAGTGTTTGCTATTTATATACGATACGATATTTTATCTCGATATGCATTTGTGCGTTTGAAAATGAAGTCAATATATTTAATTATTTATATAATTAAAATTGTCTTGTCTTAAATAATAAGTTATTTAGTGAAATAATTAGTTTAGACCTCAATAAGTAGTCAGTTTATTAAATATAAATACAAGCAACATGTGAATATACACATGTTTGTTAAAAGAGTAAATAGATTTTAAAAAGTTAAGAAATTAATTAATTTCATATATCTGCTTACAATCTATTTTTTCTATTTTGCAGAAGAATAATAATTTCAGACATTGTATAACGACTTTTCTAAAGTCAACAGACTAATAGTGCTACAATATTTGTCCCAGTTATCAGCAAAAGATGCATTCATAAGAGATCAATCAAAAGTGAAAAATACACAGCTGCTCTAACCAACATCTAATATATAATATAACGACGGCGACGTAGAAGTCTGCTACCCTGTGATTATAAAGTCAATGTAAACAAACTACCAATATTTCAATTTGTATTTTTTCCGAATTTTATAAAATGTTAATATGATGGATCTATTTAATTACTAGAGTGTCTTTGAGAAATAGCAAAACAAATAATGAAGTATCTACTACATAACGAAAAAGTTATGTTATAAACATCGGAATATAAATTTTTATGTGGCAACATCCCACAGATCTTTCAAAAGATAAATACGGCCTTACCAAATTTTTAAAATTGTACTTATTCGCTATACCATATATCATACCATATTACTTACTTACTTACTGTTGTCCTCTTCTGCTATTGGAGCTTAGGACCTCTATCATAGATCTAAACCTAAATCTATTGGGTGCTTCGCGGCAATTATCATTCCAGTTATAATTTGCATTATTAAGTTCTCTATCTATAGTTCTGCGCCATGTTTAAGCTGGTGCGCCAGATCTTCTAGAGCCTTGGAGGTTCCATCGGAGTGCTGTTCTTGCAATATGGTTCCATATATAAAAGACCATGGCCATGGGATTGTACTCTCTTTGTCACTACTTCTATAATAAGATACTTACATACATAATAGTATATTATGATTGTTTACAAAGGATTTTTGGCGCGCAGATATGCCGATTTAAACGTCCAGTGATTTTATTCTTACGACTCAAAATCATAAAAAAAAATATCGAGTAACTCTTTTTAAGTAACTTTATAAATTTGTATTTTATAAAATAATCAATTTTTTTTAAATATTTTATAATATATATGTAATTAGTCTCATGTAAATCTTAGATACTTTTGTATTTAAAATAAATTAATTGAATTAAAAGAAAGATTAATACATGATAATCTCTTTATCATAATAATCGTCTTTGTACAGTAATACTTATATGGGTTCTTAAAAATTTTTGGTAGCAAGCAACTATAATTATTCCAATTAAGATTTTCTCTAAGCCATTGAATTATTATAAAATGCTGAATATATTCCGTTACTAAAAAAGAAAACAGATAAGGAAAGACTTTTATATGAATACATAAATTGAATCATCTTTTGGTATAGGTGCAGCTTTTACTCCATCATAATAATACTACTGTTGTTATGAGATCTTTGCCATTCTGGTACTGCTGAAACTACATAAATTACGCGAAAAATACCATTATCACAAAATTCTTATTCCACCAATTTACAGTGATAGAGATAATTTATACAACAAGTGCAATGACTGCTTAAGAAGAATCAGCAAAAAGTGATATAACTCTAAATTTAAATAACGGAGATTAGATTTACAGTGGGTCTATGTGGAAACACGCGTTTAAGACTCAAACTTGTCAGAGTACAATGTGTCACACTTATAATCTCAAAATTATATGCGATTAAATATATAGATAAATGTTTCCAAAAACCACTGATAAAGCATATTTGGCAATATTCGACACAGCTATAGGATTTTCTTATTCCAAATAGATTTATTGTAATAAGACATAATATTTTTAATTAAAATAAAAAGTAATATACGGCTTATCCCCACGGTCATAGAAACAATAGAGCAAAAATCGTAATCCCCAGAGTAAGGTCCAATCATTCCGAATCAACAAGAAGTAAAAAATAAAAATATCCAACATCTTATATATTTAAATGAAATGAAACATATGAGTTAAAATATATAATATTTTCTTGTGATTAAAATATAAACACAGCATTTTCTATAATTGTTTTGGAATATATTTAGTTATTCTCGCACTGTCTTTCTTAATAAAATGCACTACACCTATTGCACAGCATTATATCGTTTATTCGATATCATCAAGTTTTTACTTCAAGATTCGAAGCATAAAACTTGTGTCACTTTTAGCTAGGCTGCTGTCGATAATACATCTAGCACTTTTTGGTTACTCACAGGAAGTGATCGTGAACTTTTACTCGTCTGTAACTACCAAGAACAGGAACGGCTTATCATTCTGGTCATTCTCCTCTATATCTGCATGTTAAGAACCTAAAATCTGTTACTTCATAAGGTAATATCTTGTGGATTATATACTTTTATACTGACGATGAGAAGAAAGCAATTGCTTATGGCCAACAAACAATATAAATATCAATTCAGAGAGTATGAATCTGAATGCTTACTATATTTTCCACTTAGCTTGCTTACTACTTCATCTTAAACCTTTTAAAACATTTTCTAAGGAAACAGTTTAGAAAGTAAATTGAAACTAATTTTAAATGTAATGCAATAATATAGTTTTTTCAGTTGTTTTAAGATAGAAATTTATAGATTTTTTAATTTCTTTTTAAGTTTCTTTCTAAAGATTGTGTTAAGAAACCGATTCCAGTGTCAATTAATAGTATTATTCCTACTTAACATATACAAAATTTGGGTATTTAAATTAGTCTAATTCACTGGTTCTAAATGGAGCTTTTAAAAAGTTTTTAATATCTACGAAAAAAAAACCAAATTGAAAATATTTCCATTTCATATTTTTCTTAAGAAAAGAATAAAATTGTAATAAGAGTAAAACTTTTGATTCCATAATTCCTAATTAGAAAACTTCAAAAAGTCAAAAGTTACATAAAGAATTGCAAATATACAAACTCAGGTGAGTTTCTTTTGTATTCCTTTTTTTGTCCTATGAATGTTAATGCTTCTCTTACCACATCCCTAAACGCTCCTGACTTTGAATAGCATAGAACAATGCAAAAAACTTTTCCTTTTCCAAAAAAAGGAAAAAATATTTTCACGAAATTATATGAATTGTATCTCACGCTACTTATGAAACAACAAACAAACAAAAAGACTTTTTCGTATTGGTGAAAAAGGACTTAATTTTTTCCCATAATCAAAGTAAATGACAATTTAACTGAAGTTTGAAAATATTTGGAAAATGTTACGATAGTTTTGGTTCGCTTCTTCAATCATGACTTAATTTGGCTCTGTTAAATTAGTCATGTATTCTTAAAAGGTATTTGCAATTGGCATAAATTGATTCAATTGCTTTGCAGTTTTTCTAATCTAATTTTCTAAAAATATTTTATTTAATGAATTAACTATCACGAAATATATATAAAATATATTATAATAGAGAATGTTTATATTGTGGAGACACCCCAACAAAAATGAAAATTTATAAATGAGTAATATTCCATTCAATAGTATACATATGTTAATCCTATGTCTGTGGGATTTCATTACAAGAAATAAAATTTCTAAGCGCATCCTGACTGGTAAGCCAACTGGATAATAAGTCATAACACAATAATTTGAAAACAGATTCAATACTTGATTCGATACTCTCACAGAATTACGTTTAAAAAGCTGTTAATCACAATATATAGTAAATGCCATGGTAGAAGCCTTTACAGATATAAGCACTCTTAATTTATTTTATAAAAACTTATAACTTTAAACTTCTCAATCGATTTATTCCTAATACAAGTCGGTTACTAATTGTACTGATGTCTGTTGAACAATAAGTAATATAATGTAATGTTGAGCCTTTTCCGAGTTAGTGCATCTGGGCACTTTTACTCTTTGATAGCTGGGGAATTTCTGCAGAGTCTCACCCCTCTCACCGACTGATATTAGTATTCCTCATAATCTTTGTGATTATTCAGTGACTGATCTAAGATCTGCGTACCGCCCCGTGCGGTTAGTGATTATTCTGAGATTAGATAATGTTAAGTCAAGACAACCTGTCTGTTTTCGCATATAGCTTCAGAGCTCTACATAAGGGATTATGCATTTTTGGACCGGATCTATTTTAAGGTCTCTTAGCAAGTCATTAGTGCGGATATACCATGGCACTTTGAAGAGCCTTCTGGAAGCCTGGCTTTGAGCAACTTGTAGCGCAATACAATAAGTAATAAAATAAGAGTCTTCTTGGTTAAAAGAATATGGATAACTAGTCTATGTAGTTCTATATAAAGTCTTTTTTCCACTGCCTTTAAAATTTTGTTATTTCTTCTACATATATTATTAATATATTTGTTTTGATTTTTTTATTTTAGGATGATTACTTACTTGAAAAACGAAATAAACCATCATTATCGATTGTAAATCCATTGGATGTACTTAGGCAACGATTATTATTGGAAATTGCACGAAGACAAATGAAAGAAAATACTAGACAGGTAAGTAAAATTTTTATATTTTATTATTTATTTTGCAATATTTTATTTGAAAGTATTTACTTTTTTCTATTACCATACAATTGTAATCCTCACCCATTGCAATATATGTATAGACATTTATCTATACGCATATTAAAATTTTATTATTTTTATAAGTTATAAGTTAATTATAATACATTATTTAAACTTCTATTTCTCATTGTATCTCATTAACCTTTATGTGCTCGGGATATTTTTCCTACGTTGCCGGTCGGAAGTCTACATTTGTAGCAAGCAAGTATGTTATGAAGAAATCTAGACCAACATATTAAAAAAACACTTTTAGGCAGATTATTTTACTTTTACAGACAATTGTACATATTTATTATGAAAATTATTATACAAAATTTGGGTAAAAAAGGTTGTAAGTAGCTTTTGAGGAACAACATTCACCCAAAGAATATGTGACTGTTTGTACGTCACACACTGATTTTTATGCACCAACTGCAAATATTTCGCGTAGTTTTTCTCTTTCAAATGTTAATCTCTTCCACAATAGTTACCTGATTTGCATTTGAGTTCTTTCCAGTATAAACCTCACTATTGAGAGGATAAAACGACTTCGCATCACAAGCGAACCAAACTTTTGGATGGAATATAATGGGTAAATCTAGTCTATCACGATATGTAAATAGATGCTTATTTACTGTTACTTCTCCGGAAGATTGGTAGTACATACGGAGATGGCTATTCATCTCAGCCTACAATTCAGAGATGAGAGCAGCCTTATCAATAACAAGTCAGCTCTAGTACGGTGAATGTCAAACCGAATAAAATGTAAAATTTCTTTGAAATGGGTTTTTACATTGTTGCACGGTAATAACAAACTGCTTCCTTACTCCACAACATATTCGTATCCTCGTCGCTTGATTTGGTTACACCACCTAGCACTAGAAGCTCAATTAACGATTATGATTTCATGCCGGTTACAGTATTCCACATTCTCTCCTTTGCATTAGGGTTTTTTTCATTCCCTATTTGAAAAGTTTTCCTGGCTTTTTAGTTTGTTCCTCTCAAAATTTATTCAAGTATCGAATACGGTGTACAAAATTAGACCTTTAGTCGCTCGAATTGGACCAACAGTAGTGTCATGAAACACATTGTGAGCAGTAGTGTTACCTACTTGATTAGGTATAGTTTTGAACCAGACAGTATTATCTCTTGACACAAATGTATCAAGATGCTGCATAACGACCGATGTCTCTTTGACATTCATCACATAATCAAAATTTATTTCGAATAATATACCTTATTCTTGCTCATATTTCTGAATCACCAAGTATCATTTCATTCTCGGCGTCAGATTCTTTAGAATAGAAACCAATCGCAACACTTACAGCACCAACAAAAACATTGCTTGAGCTGGAACATGTATGATGGTCAAGCGGTACATGATCATCAAACCATTCATCGCTAAAAACTAGTCCTCCTCTTCCTCCTCATCAATCACGCTCAGTAATATGTCAATATATTGTCGCCATTCTTTTTTCATAAGCCACTTCCAAAAAAAGGAAAACCTGCAAACACACTTACTGTTTAACAACTCATAGTGGCCGAGTTGAAGCACGTTCAATCATATTTTCCAATATTCTCATTTTATTTTACTGCTCTAAGTTTCAAATAAACTATTTCATTACCAAATTTACCAATCGAAAGCGGATCGAAAGCATTACATTGTAATCAGATTGAGCATAAGCAGAAAATTGATTACAGCAGTATGAACTGCGCTTCCTAATCCTCCTACTGTTGCGATCTAAACCATAAAATCATGCATATAAGTACAAATATGCAGCACAAGTATGTACAAGTAAACAGAGAATAAAATAAATTACAAAGGAACATGTTTCTGCATGTTGGAACTAAAAAATATTGAGCTACATAGATATTTAATATGAATTTTTATATAAATTATATGGTGACTACAAATGTAGACTACCGGCCAGGAGGTGATCATTTTGAAAAGTTGGGTCTAGGGCTTAAATAAATTATTGTTTTGATGTTGTTAAGTTTAAAATTAACTTAAAATTGATTTTTAGGAAACTACTAAAAATCTCGCACCCTGTCATTGTGCAAAATTCGTTTTTATAAGACTTTTTCGCACAAAATGCTACAAATGTAGACTACCAAGCACATAAAGGTTAAATTCACTGGCTACTACGGGCTCATGGTATACATTGTGACCGAAAAGCTTTCGCAAATTCTCATTAAAATTCGCGCTGTTGTATTTTTCGATATTTTAGTTTATTAGTTTGGCAGCACGTCCCTAATTACTATGCCCAAAAATAGGCGCGATCTGTCGGACAGTTCGTTTACGGCAGCTGTTGAAACCAGTTCACCTCAGTAGTGCGTTGCGAAAAAAACAATGGAAAAAAATATTGAACAAAGAGTTTGCATCAAATTTTGTTTTTCGAACGAAATTTCGTGTGCAGAATCGTTGCGAATGCTACAAAAGGCTTATGGGGAATCAGTTTTATCGAAAACTCAAGTTTATGAGTGGTACAAAGCCTTTCAGGACTGTCGTACGACCGTCGAAGACATGCCGCGTTCTGGACGACCTTCGACCTCTACCACCGACGAAAACATTGAAAAGGCAAAGGAAATCGTGTTCAAAAATCCTCATGTGAGTGTTAGAGAGATAGCACGAGAGCTAGGCATCGGTCGTGAGATGGCTCGTTTGATTTTGGTGGACAATTTGTGTATGCGACGTGTCAACGCCCGGCTTGTTCCGATTCACCTCAATTTGTTCAACATTATCAACGATTTTAAGGCCAAACATTCAATAAATACCATCGAACAGCCACCGTATTCACCTGATCTTGCACCGTGTGACTTTTTCCTGTTTCCCAACCTCAAATTACCACTCAGAGGAACGCGTTTTGAATCCATAGAAGACGTAAAACAGAATTCGCAGAGGGAACTCAAAGCCATACCGGAAAGCGCCTATAAAAAATGTTTTTATGATTGGAAGAAACGTTGGCATTTGTGTATCGCTTCTAATGGAGCATATTTTGAAGGAGATAAAATAAATATTGATGAAGATTAAGAATTTTGCGTTTTATTTAAAATTTTCCGGAAACTTTTCGGTCACAATGTATTATGCAGTATTTCACAGATCATGGAACGCCATAACAAGGATTTGAAAGATTGTGATTTTCCTGGCGCAGCGATTTTTACAATAGGTCAGCGGTCACTTTTAAGTTTCCTATCGCACTCTTCACTTTTTCCGATATTCTTGTTTCAGGTTTAAGAACTTTGGGATTTATGGCTTCTCAATTATTTAGATTTATTTAAAATTGATACAGCTTATTTAAGTACTCGATTTTTTAATCTTCTGTGACTTATCAATTATGGACATTCAAGACGAACTTTAAATTGCTTTACAAATTCCAATAATGCAACTGATTTTGAATACTTGTACAGTAAAACTTCTTTAATTTACAATTTTTTCGTTTTGAGAAGTGAATTAAAACCATGCCCATCTTCTAAATTGAGTTATACTAAAAATGAAAATATTCCATATGGAAGACACAAATATTCGGAATTTCTGTCTGTGAGCGTGTGTAAATTTAATATTTTACAAATCATTTAATTTATTATAATAGTATTAATAATATTGTGAAAATGTTTTTTATTTTGTGTAAACTACTATATAACACTCAGATAGTATGAGTCTTGTACATTGGTGTACATTCCATTTCTTAACCGAAAAATTGAAAAGAATATGTCCATGTGATTTTTGGCTGTATCTAGAGTTACACTGTTTACTCTTTGTAAATTGTTTACTCTCTGTAAACAGTGTAACTAGAGTACTTGCATATGTATCTTGTATAAATATAAATAATAAATATTTTAAATCTGGATATGTCAATAAGCCTGAAAAATAATTACTTTTTATATATATTTTTAAAAGTATTTTGCTTTTCGGGTGTAAAATACATTTTTTTTAATTTTAGTAAAAGATATTTGATAAAAAATTTCAAATTATTTTTCAATTTTCTTTTTTAATTTGCATTTATTATACAGTCAATTGGGCAGATTCGAAATTTTTTACGATAATGTTGAAAAAAATAATGGCTATAGAACGTAAACACTATCGAAAAAAATTTAACATTGCAAAAACTTTATGAAAGGAATGAAAAATGTCATAAATAATATGGGTTTTTCTATACTAAGTTCGATAGCTGAAAATAATATATTTATGCCCGAAATATGTGTATGATTCGGAATATTCTATTTTTTTTTAACATTGTATTAGAGTAATCACTTTATCTTGGAATCTCGTTGCAAGCTGCATGAAATGCACAGATTGCGCGAAAATCTGCAATAGACAACCACAAACTACACGCACTAAGTTTCTTGCAATGGCTTGAAATCTTACTACACCTAAACCCATGTATATATGATTGCAACGAAATAAAAAATAAAAAAAACAGCTGTTTTAACATCTGTTGTTCCTCATGTGGATGTGGTATGCTGCAAAAATAGCTGTTTCATTTTGATGTTGCAATGCTGCAACAGATGCGTTCTCGCATTCTTGCAATTTTAGTATAGCATTCTTGCATTTCGTGCACCTTGAAATGATTTTGCAAGACAGAGTCAATACCCCTTTTGATAACAAACAAAGTAAACAGTAGTGTAGCTAGGATTAGGGGATGTATGTCTCATTTGACAATATAATCTACAGATAATATACAGTAAAATCATTTTCACCCCTATCCCTTGCACAAACAAGGGATTACAAGGGATGCCACTTAAAGTAGCGTAGTCTGACTCAATACTGATAGTAGCAATAACCAGATACTGTCTAACAGAAAGTCCTACTCATATCATGTGTATAAATGTATTACCTCTGAATTTGTGTCGAAACTGCTATTTTATGGTCCTGCTCTTGCAACTTCAATAGACAACACACAAATCAGCGATCCTTTTTAATTCCTGAAAAGCCTGATTGGAAAGTCCTTTTGCAAACTTTATTGCAAAGATCTAGTAAAAAACTGTGTCGATGTGTAGAACAGAAGTTATTAATTGCTCCGATTTAAATAAACTTGGATGTCTTAACGAAAAGAGGTGCAAAGTTTTGCTGAATGAGAAATTTAATAACGACCAAAAATAAAAAGAATTAAATCAAAATATTTATAAACTGAAATCTGCAAAAACGTATCGAATTTTTTTTACTTCAACAAAATCGCGTATTTTTCTTTAGGCATTTCACATTCCACTTTTTACTGTTAACTGAGAACTGAAAACTTTTTTAAAGGATTCGTTACTTTGCAGAGAAATCAAAGTACTTTATATGCGGATAAAATTTCTCACAATCACATCATGAAAACATTTTTTTACAAATAAATGACGGAAGGAGCGCATTACATTACAGTACATATCTTTTCTTATTTTTCCACAAGAATTTGTCGCAGCAAGCGTCATGAATTGATTTGTCATCTTGTCAAGTACGCAGATTAAACTTGTGATATCATAAAAGTTTGCAAAACGGTATTCAGCCGCGCTTATTTCACAGATTAAAATTGTGAAATGTTTACTGAAGAAATTTAATAACGACGTCTTCCTTTTAAGTCGCAAAGCATATGTAAACCCACACGAATCCTCAAAATTACAATGAAAAAAGAGACAATATTGTTGTGTTTCTTTACTGTTTTTTATATTTAATTTCAAATTTATACAATATATAATTTAAAAGAAATTAACTTTTTGTGATAGAAAAAATGACGGAATAAAGATTTTTGTATTGTAACTTTATGTTAAATCAACAAAAAATTATTCAATTTATATTCTTGTCATCGATAATTGAATTGCCTTCTATCATTTCCTACATAAAAAGATTGTTAACGATGTCCCTACTAAGATACTTCATTATTACTAAAAATATATGTGATAAATGTATCAGAAAAGTACGGGGTACTGAGAATGAATTAATATTATTTGTAATTGAAATATATAAATATATTAAAAAACTTGGATTTAAATGTATCTACATATAATTCACATATTTCATAAATACCATAAGGACCATATAGAGTAATATCGTACTATTATTGAAAATTAATATAAAAAACTTAAAGCAAATATGATCTATCTATGATAGAATAAATAACATATAATATTAAATATTATTAATATTAATTTTAATATTAATTACTCAAAGGTAATTACTTAGCCGAAGACCTTATGGGCATAGCGCTGTAAATCAGATGTTGTACTCGGTTGGGATTATATGATCCCAATCACATGTATTACGGAAAAGCCCTAAAAACCGTGATTTAAAAAGCATGGTACCAAAATACAACAAAATAAATGTATTCACAACTAAATTAAAGGCAAAGGTAGGAGTAGAAGCTGATGTCTATTGATCATTAGGATGCCGTTTAAACTTCTCGATTTCTGCAGAATTTTATCTGTTAAAACGGCAGCAGCAGAGCTCATGTAAGTGGATAAAACGATAAGCAGCTATTAAAGCAATTAAATCATACTGATAATCATGAAAAGATATTCTAGAATGCAAGAAAGCTATAGCTAGACTAGCCTGCAGCTACAGACTATATATGTACTGGGTTCATGGTCATAGAAAAGCACAGTTGATGCTATTGTTAAAACTTGCGTAAGACTTTCAGATGACCATACATGCGATGTACTTAGACCTCTGAAACAGATATATAAGCTCATAGACGAGCGCATGACAAGGAGAGCAAAGGAAAAGTGATAAAATTTAATCACCTGTAGAATAGCTAGGATCAAATATAGACATATATACAACGAAAAATACGCTGAAGATGTTATATCGTTTGGCCGAAGAAACTGTAGAACATTAATTAGTATGTTGACCGGTCAATGTTTTGTCGCATCACACGCGCACAAACTAAACTTAATTTGCCGTAATGCCGGATAATAAATTTTGTTCTCATAATAATTAAACCATCAAAGACGCTTTTAAGTTACTTAAGCTATGACCTTGTAGTACCTTTTGTCTGCAAAACAGGTATTGAAAATATTTTTGAAATACATCAAAAACGACTGAAACATCAAAATTTAGACAGTTTTTTATCGGCAATAATACAGTATCTAATAAAGCCACAGTGGTAAATTCTTATCTTATCAAATTCTTATCATTGGTCTTAGCAACCATTCGTCATATTTATCTGAATTAAAACATCTAGTTATTTTCTAAACCAAAACTAAAGACAAAAATAAATCGTTTTAATACTATCCCCATCATCCAAAATCATACGAAATACTAAACACGAAAAATGTATTATTTTTATCAATTATCCGCCGTATTATCTGATTAAGCTCTATACGACTTCTGGCTATTTTCCAAATCAAAAATTGACTATTGAAACAAACCACTTCATTATCATTCCTATCATCCAAAATAGCGCTTTGCTGACTCGGAAGAAGATTATTTTGAATAAACAAAAATAAAAAACCATTATAATAAACACTTCGTTTTTATATCTTTCGTAGTAAAGTTTTATCATATCTGGAGGGTTGAAGAACTGTACTGAATAACAAATCAAACAATAACAAAGGACAAATAACAATAGGTGTAAATATAAGAGAATAAGCCACACACCGTATGACGCAAACCGTATGACGAAATTCTATAAGCAGCTTTGATATGAAATGGTCAGAATTCTTAGCTGTAGTGCAGATATTATAGAAAAATTTAAATCATTCAAAGATTCAAATCAGAAATGGAGTTGGGCATGTAGCAAAATTTTCTAAAATTATCTATGTAAACTCCTGATAGAAGTATCGGGTTAATAATAACATAACTCAACCTTAACATATTATGCACAAAATATAATACTAAATTAACATTTTTTCTAAAAAACTGAAATACAACAAACTTTCCTTACCATTTTTCTAAAAACTATTCTTTTAACCCTTTCTTAATAAATTCATAACCCTCTCGGTTCGTCTTCGAGTTCGTTTTTGAATAAAAAGCATACAAACCTGTTGTAAAGCCTTTAAGGTCTATTAAAATTTATGTCTCAGACTAAATTCAATTTTATTTGACAATTTTATTTGTGTTTTAGTGAAAATATACGAATTTAATTCCCTCACTGTCAAATAAACACCTTCTTTAAAGGAAAATTGATTGAAATTTCGGTCAGGTACTATTTACCATAAAAAGCCAAAACAAAGTTTATTAACTTGATCAACTTCTGGGGCAATAAATACAAAAATAGTCACAAAACATAAAATGTACTTTTTTTTGAATAATCTAAATTTCCGGAAAAACACTAACATTTTCATGAGAGTTTTTTTTTATTTTGTCGAAACTTTTCATTTCGTGCTGATGCAACTTTTTTTTATATGGAAATATTTTTACTATTTTAAATTTAATTAAATTTTCAGGTTGAACTAAATCGCGCCATTTTGAAAAATGTTGGTAAACGCATACCTGCCACAAGGCGTTACCAGATGTCATTGGCACAGGAGCGTCAATTGCAGCGGCAACTGCAGCAAGAACAGTTGCAGCAAAACTATCCAAGTCAATTGGACTATGTACCCATCTCCTTTTTAGAGTTCTTACAACGACCCGTATACGAAGCACTTGTTGATGAGAAGAAATTCCCTAACATGGGCAAAACTGAAAGTCAAGTAAACGGAAACGAAATTGGTAATGAAACAAATCATGAGAAAAACAATGGCGTTCCAAGGACATCCAATGCAGTGGGCAAGGAAAATAGGCATCGTGATGGCAATAGCAATGGCAATGACAATGGTATTGTCAATGGAAGTGGCACTGGCAGTTTGGCTAATGATATGAGTAACAGTATGGGAAACAATGCCAACATGGGCATATCTGCAAGTGGACTGGTATTGGATTTACTTGGCGATGAAGAGGACGAGTACGAAAATATGCCAACCAACACAAATGATGGCTATCAGTTGCGCTACCTTTACCGCATGCATAGGAATAGATATGCGCACAAATAAACAAACAACAATTGAAATATAAAGCAAAAAAAAATAAATTTGCTGTACTAAACTTAAAGTTTGTGTTAAACAGCAAAATAAAAATAAATTATTTTATTATTTAATATTAAATAATTTAAATTTTTAAATATTTCTTTTGTTGAAGTTTTAACATTAAACGACAAAGTGAATCGCTAACGAATTATTGTATTGGCTCTGAAAATATGCTTGATATGTGTAGATATAGACTTCATTACATATGGCTATATATGCACGAATCCGACTCTCATACTAAGTAACTTTAATTTACAAATCCTTAAAAGAAAACGTAGTGAATTTTAAATGGCGTTCTTGTTGTAGTTTAAATAAAATAAAACAAACAAACTCAATATAATAAATATAATTAAAATATATATATTATAAATCCCTACCTATATGGTTAGCATAACTACTAAATATATTTTTTATTTTTGTAATTTAAATAACTAATAACAATTAAGATTTTTAATTCAATTTCATAATTTAATTAGGAAATACCAAACCATAATTGTCTATAACAAATAATTACAATTTTAAAATTATAAGAGAAACTAATAAATAAAAACGAAATGAGAACATGACGAATATGTAAGAAAGTACCTTCAAAAAATATGATTTTTAGTTCCTTCTAAAGTGAAATCAAAATTATAGGTAAAACTTTTAAAATATAAAAATAGGTCAGTTCTTAAATATCCGCGGGCGGACTAAAGTGTTTTTTTTTTGTAACAAATGCAAACAGCATATACTATATACAAAGAATTATGTTTAAGATAAATATTCTATATATATATTAATTTATGCTATTTATTTACTGATAAATATTTTACACATCCAACTAAATTTTAGTAACAAGCTTATGTGATCGAATTTCGAAAAAAAACCCCATTTAAAACCACAAAGAACCTCTATTACAATTTTTAATCGTTAAAAAAAAATTAAATCGTTTATAAAAATGTTATTAAAAATTCAAAAATTTAACAATTATTCTATACACTCAAATTCTTAATTAAAAATAAATATTTTATTATAATTACTCCATTACTCATTATTGACTACTCAAGAGAACTTGTAAAATAAATAAAAAAAAAAAAATTAATAGATTATTTAGACTAAAGAAATATTTAAATAAAAAAAATTTTATTTGATTCTTATGTTCAAATTATGTTTAAAACGTACATATATATAATTTATTTTATATATTAATTTTATATTAATTTATATACGAATATACATGAAAATCTGTTTTTTTCACTATTATTGATATTGGTCCACTTTTTTTATGACAATTTATTATCTCGTGTTTATTTATTAAATGAATATCTATGACGAAATTATTTTTTTTTGACCCAATATATATAAGTTATTGAAACACATTTGTCTTTGAGAGAATCATTCCAACAGTTTTATTGAAGTGAAAAAATAAATATTTTGCCTCTCTAAACTTACACTACATTAAATAGTAATATAATACAGGATTAGGCTAACAATTTTTTAATAATAGTAATAATTAATAGATTCTTTTTCGATATTAGCTCCAAATGTTTATGCTATAATTTTTTAACTAAGCTATACCCCACACCCAATAAAATTTTTTTAACTGATTTTATTTAATCATTCTATAATTATTTTTTACTACCTATTGTAAACAATACTTGGAAAAGAGAGAAAAATAATTAAGTAAATATATAACTAAATTTTATGATCTATGACTACCTTTCAAATATATCATATTTTTTTTATTAAGACTATACATTTAATTTACACTTATTATTCAATACTATATAAAAATTAATATTCATTTAAATAAAACAAATTAGTTATAAATTTGCTATAGTATAATTTTTTATAGTATCATTTTAGTATCTATTTTGACACTTCTCACTTTTTATCAGTAAATAAAGTAATTTATAAAATTTTTTAATGATGATCATTTCTAGTTTTTTTAAAGAATGGTACTGAAAAATACTCGTAATAAATCCGTTTATTATTTCATAAATTATAAAACTATTTTAAATATTTAAATATTTACTTTAAAAGTATTAAAATTTAAATATTATTACTAAACAGTTACAATAAAAATTATAAAATCATTTTTAACTAACAATTAATAAAGTCTTATTTCAGCCAAATACGAAACTTACTGAAAATTCAAAATAAAAACTTTTTTTAATTATAAAATTTTTATAAACAAAATACGGTATTATTATAAAAACTATGCTTGTTGTGTTTATATATTAATTCTTTAAGTTCCTTTCAATTAATATATAATTATATCTTAAATACTCTGTTAAAAAAAAATTGAAATATTAAAAATGTTAATATATAAATATTATAATGATAATAAATAATAATTATTATATACTTTTTTATAAAAATCAGATATTTATTTACCCAACTTCACAAACATCTCTTCCACAAAATTTATTACACTGAACTTATATAAAATGTAAATTGAGTAAAAGTTTGAAATGCTTTTATAATTAAAACTATTTAAAAAGGAATTATAAATAAAGGCAGCTCGTAAGTTTAAGATAATATATAAAAAATAATTTTTTTTTTTTGAAAATTATGCTCTCAGACAGTATTATTTTAAAAATATAATTATAAAAAATATTTTAAAAGTATTTAAAAAATAATAATTACTTACGTGAAATCATTGAACATATAAAATATATTTCTAATACAAAAAAAATGTTACTTAATAAATTATTATTGCATAGCATTAAAAAGTAACTAAACTACAAAAAATATAAATTTTGATATTTCCTCAAGTCTTGCAGTACAAAAATATTTTCAATAAGAAAAAACAAATAAAAAAAAGAAACTAAAACCACATATTGATTTAAACAATTAAAACTAAACTATGTGTTAAATTAATAAAGGTCTCAGTTTATTAATTAAGGATTTCACATAACATCTTTCCCATCAATATAAGAATTCTATTAAAATTTATAAATATTTACTCAAGCAGAAATTTTTATGGTAATTTAATGAGAATATATTTAATTCCTTTGTTAATAGTAAATGTGCAATTTTAACATTCAAGAGAAATTTTTGCTGTTATATAAAATATAATTACAGCAAATATATAAAATTATTAATATTATAAAAACTGTTAAAAATCTAAATATATATATAAATATATACATTAATATATAAATATGGAACTATAAATATACTATATATAAAAAATCCAAAAATCTATGTAAATATTGAAAAAATTTCTAATTAATCAATTAAAAGTGAAAATTATATGTACTTCGAGTATTTTAATGATAAATAAAGATGCTTAAAATTTAATATGTGTTTCACAAAAAATATGCCATATATTAACTTAGGAATAGATGATCATATGTACTCTTCACATAACCATAGATACTTCTTCAGAATCAATAAAGGCATTTTAATAGGAAATACACTTATCACAGAAATGCAGAATTAGTTTTAAACTTTATAACTAATTTTTTCGTTAGACTTCTTTCAACAGTTAAAAGGCATCAAATACTACCCAATTATGTAGAAGTATATATGACCAAAAATTGCAGCTGTTAGTACCAAAAAGCCTCCTAAAAGAATGTTGTATTTACTCCAATTCCGTAGGCTACCGGGTAGCTTACAGCCTACTTGTGATACAAAGACCCCAAAAAAATCTATATACTTTTCGTTGGTTTCTGTTTGGTATACTTGCAAAGTCACGGAATTAGTTGTGAGTCAGAAGCAACTGAAACAAATCAAGTTGTTACCGGAGTAAGCAGTGATTCAGTGAATAATTCACTAATTAACCGTAATGATTACCATGGCGGTTAAGTTTGCAAGGAATACAGATCGAAATACAGACGTGTGCAAACGAAATTAAGGTTTAGCCCATTAGACACCGAAGAATATACTGAAACTCTATTCCTACCAATTCTTAATCTTTAGATGAAAATACATGAGTATGAAGGATACAGTTTTAAAGAAATAATATGAAAACATTTAATACAAATTTTTGTTTCCTTTGACAGGATATGCCAAAATCTTTTATACAAAGAATAATATTCAAATTGGAACAAAATAACTAAGTACATGGATATGCTAAACAAGAATCTTTTGATATCAAATGAATAATATTCAAATGAATGATATAGAACAATAAACTACAACGTCATACTAACAGTATCGTTTTAGAGAATATACTCAGAACTCATAGATCTAAACTGAACTGAACTCAAGGAATTGAAAGCAGTTTTACAATCTGATAGAATGTATATATTCGAATTTAACTTATTTTTTCTTTTTAATAACCAGACAAGCTATAACTTCTAATACTGATCAATTCCACCTAAAAACACAGTGATCAGCAAGCCTTTAATATATAGACTTTTTTCGAAGATTTTAGACCTTCGAGAAAACTCCACTGCTTACACTGCTACCACAACGATGGTCAAAATTATAATACTTCTACTGTTTAGTAATTTTACCCCTAAGAGCAGCGGATGCCGTCATTTGTATACTTATAGAATTATGACACATTAAGTTAATCATTTTATCTAATGTCATGGACGGAATGGTATGCAATGCACAACGAATACCATGCAATACGAAGATTTATTCAAGACTCTCCACCATGCTATGATACCATACTACCATCTTTTGATAGCAGTATAGAGCCATTGGATTATGCATAGTTGTAGCCCCAACTTTTTACGAAGAAATTGTAGACATAAAAGAACCGAGAATTTTCTTTATTAGAGCGTTCGTAGGTATTTTGCTTGTAATTATATTACAATCAATAAAACAATAAGTTATTATCAAAAGCCATTCCAAAAATTTTTGCTGGATTCGTTAATTAGAGTTCACAGTAAAATCTATATAGAAAGAGTTGAAACGGATTATAAATGGGTTATGGTTCTAAAAAAGTTTTTAAAATTTACTGTTGATAAATACAGAAACTAGTTTTATTATTCTACATAATAAAAATTACTTTTGATTTTTTTTTAAAACCATAAGTATA